GCTTTGAGCACCAAATCATCGGTGTGTTTCCGCACACCCTGCCGAATAGTAGCGGCGGAGTTGTAGACCCAAACCCAACCACCAACGTCATATTTCGGTATCTGACGCAAACCGTCCAACAGTGCAGAGTTCCGGCGTTCGACACGCGACACCGTAATCGCATGTTGTTCCCGCACCAATGCGTAGGCTCGTCTCTGGTGTTCCACCGCAAGGTTGCAGAAAGCGAGCTGGTCTCGATCCAGACTTTGATGGCCACCCACGCTAGGGTGGTCCAAAACAGAAAGCGGGAGGCGGGGCAACCGTCCAATATGCACTTCATTCGGCGCCAAGCCTGTGGCGGTGTTTACCGAGTTGTTGTATGCAAACTCTACATGGGGAAGATGGACGTCCCAATCGTCCTGACGCTCATTGACCACAACAGCGAGCATTTGAGCCATGGTGTGGTTAACACGCTCCGCCCCACCGTTAGTTTGGGGGTGGTACGAACTGGTGGTGACTTTCCTGATGTTCATCAGCTCGTAAATAGCCATGGACAGCTCGGAACAAATTTGCATGCCGTTATCCGAAAGAAAAGTCACCGGACAACCCCACAACGTCATGTAGCGGTTGACGAAAATGTTGGCCGTTCCCTTAGCGGTAAATTCCGCCTTGGTAGTGGCATACATATCCGCCCGTCGACTGAAACGGTCTGTAAACAAAAGTATATATGCATTCCCACGGGACGTGACCGGCAACGGCCCAAAAAAATCGACTCTCACTACAATACCCGGCCCATTCGGGAGGGGCAGAGTGAGCGTAGGCCAGCGATACGTTTGCCGGGAAGTCTTGCGTGCTTGTCAAAATATACAATGCCGAAGCCACCAACGAACGGACAAGTTCATTCCAATCCACCAGAAGAATCGCTCCAACAACGCAAAGTCCGAGCGGTACCCAGGTGAAAAGACGTGGTGGCGTGACATGCTTGTAGGATCCAAGGTCGCAAGGCATTGGCACGTATATGCGTGGAGTCTTCGAAGGCGGGAGGCGAGTGATACGCCCGCCCGAACTACCCACAGGCAGTGGGGCGGAATCTCGCACCAACGTTCGCGTACCATCGTCTGTGTGCAGGCATGTTTCAGATGCGAGGGCGACAGCATCAGACAACGCCGGTCGTCGCGCACAGAACAAGCTATCCCAGAATGTATCCGGCAAAAACAGCGGGGACCCCAAAGATTAAAGATATATAGCCGCTACACACTCACTTTCCGACATCTGTTCGCGGGCCCAGTCGGCATGCGAGAATGTATGCACACAATCGCGGAGATGAGCTTCCTCAGCGGCCGTGGGCGGTACCACCGGAGCCTCAGGGTTAGTGCCCGCGGGCGACAACACTGTCGGTGTGGGCGCCGCGGGTGGTAGCGGTGGCACCGGGGTATCGGCAGCACGCGGGGGCGTCGGCGGCGGCGGCAGCCCAGCCGGCGCCGAAAAAGGCGGCGGACCAGAGTAGGCTTAGGCCCATTATGCTCCTTGTTTTCGTTTCTTATGCTCCTTTTTTTGGAAAACATATGCTGCACAAGTCAATTATGCTCATCGAATATGCTCCTTTGGTCTCAATATGCCCCCACCTATGCTCCGTTTTGGTGGCGGGAATGCCTCAAATGCCTCTTTATGCTACCGTGCTACCGTATCACGCTTGTGTTTGTGGTGTTAATGTTAATGCTTCGCCCAAGTTCAACAACTACATTCGTGTTATCAGTCAGCAGTTTTGTGTTTTCGAAGACTCTCGGCTCTCGTTACCTTCATCACAGTCGTCGCACTCCTTCGAAAACTGGTGCCCAAAACGAGTACTACTCGAAGTAGTACGGAGTATATACGAAGTAGGAGTACTTCATTATCTGCGGCCAACGAGCTCAACATCACCAGTCTCAATGCGGAGCACCCACAGCAAGCGGAAGCGGCAATTCCTCAGCAGGTTAGCAAGATGAGACGGCAGAAAGCAAAAGCCAACCGCACCACTTTCTCCGCTGTAGGTCTTAAGGCCTTGTACTGTAAACCAAACAGCAAGGGCAACAGAAAAATACCTTCTAGCACTCCTGAGACCTGTTGTACTTAAGGAGGGCCGCCGCCTCAATCCGGTCTAAGAGACAATGCTCCTGCCTATCGTCCACGCAAGCACGAAGGACAGAAAACACCCGTTCCATGAAAGCGGAAGAGGGTTGGATCAAGGCTATGTCTTTGGCTACTTTGTACCAAGCAGATAGTTTAAGCCTGTTGTCATGCCAGAAAGCCCACAAATCGCAGCCGGCATCCGTCTCAGCCGCCGCGACGTTGTACGCATCCATCTCTTCTACGAGGGCGGCGACCACGGTTGGTGTCACGAACGGAAGCACTTCTGCTAGGATGTGTACGTCCGACTCCTCCAGTTGGTGCCCCTTCACGAACGTGAAGTTCAGCAGTCTCGCCCCCTCGAAAAGCCGGATGGTCGCGTGTTCCTTAGCTCCCGGATGGTCCCCGATTCTCGCGTATGCGTGGTACCGGACGCCGTGCATGTGAAAGAGTGCCACCTCTTGAGCCAAAGCTTGACGTTCTCCTGCAACCGACGAAAAGTACGAGCACGATTCACGAGAGGGATGAAGACATGATGTACAAAATCGTGTGAAACAGCTGG